GGCATATTTAATGCCTCTAACCTCTCCTCGTAGCTCTTGCCCTTCAGTTCTGGGAGCCACTTAGTAGCATGTCTTTGCACCTTTTCCAGTTTGTTGATGGGCTTCTTAAGATATGGGCACCACACAACCACTGCATATTCTAGCTTTGGCCTAACAAAAGTCGTGAACAATTTCTTTAGTATATCGCCATCCATGTATTTAAAAGCAATTCTGAAGTTAGAAAGCGTGGCATAGGCTCCTCGCACAATATTCTTTATGTGGTCCTCAGGTGATAGTTTTCTATCTAGAACCACCCCTAGATCTCTTTCTTTATCAGAATTCTTTAAAGATTTCTCACATAATATATAGGTTGTGTGGGGTCTGTGTTCTCCTATTCCACATTCCATAACATGGCATTTATTAACATTAAATTCCATTTGCCAAGTGGTGCTCCATATACTTATTTTGTCCAGGTCTTCTTGAAGGGCATGACAATCATCTAAGTTTCTTATCCTTCCTATTATCTTAGCATCATCAGCAAACATGTTCATATAATTCTGTATACCAACTGGTAGATCATTTATGTAGACAATAAACATCACTGGTGCAAGAACTGAACCCTGTGGTACTCCACTTGTGACATTTCTCCAGTCTGATACATTGCCTCTGATCACAGCCCTCATTTTTCTATCAGTCAGAAAATTTTTCATCCCTGTTAGAAGCGTACCTGTCACTCCTCCAATATTTTCCAGTTTCCAGAACAACCTCTTATGTGGAACTCTGTTGAAAGCCTTTTTTAGGTCCAGATAGATGCAGTCAACCCAACCATCTTTTTCCTGTAATATCTCTGTGTGGGACTCTCGGACCGTTTCCTTGTCTTTTCCTCCGGAGTCTCTCCTGCAGCTGCGGTCCCGCATGCACCTGTTTCTGGGGGTGCTCCCAGGTCTGTGTTGGAGCCTAAACTTCGCGACGCTGGTCTACTCGTCGAGTCGGGTTTGGCTTCATCTGCTGTTCTGGTTTCTTCAGGGACGTCCCATCTGCCTCTCTCGCGATCGCCGAGTTCGGACCCCAGGGGCTTTGTGTCACCGGCTTCCTCTTCGGGTTTTTCAGGGTTCAGTGCCATGGCGCCTACCCGAGCCCTCACTCGATGTGTTCACGGATGCGTTGTCTCTCGGCTGGGACTTTGTGACCAGTGCTCACCAGGCCGGCCTGGACAGTGGGATCCGTCCTTCCGTCAAGCCCACAGCACTGTGCGGGAGTTCGCAGCGGTGTGGTTTGCTCTTTGGAGGCTTCGAGTCGCCCGCGGGTCGACAATCCAACTCCATTCGGACTGTTCCCTGGTGGTTCATTGTCTGAACCGGGGGAGGGGGGTTTGATGTAGTCTTTGGCTCTTTAGCGCTGGTCGCTTCGGATGACTTGTCTGCTGAGTTCTCGGGGTTTAGCTCTCCTGGCAGTTCACGTGTGGGGAGTGTCGAACGTCTTGGCCGAAGGCCTGTCTCGTTTCATTCCCCTCTCCACGGAATGGACGGTTGACACTGACTCCTTCCGTTCGCTTTGCCAGAAGTTCGGACGCTCCTAGGTGGACCTCTTCACATCGGCGTGGTCGCGGTGCCTTCCCCTGTATGTCGCGCCCTTTCCCAACTGTGAGGCCATTGGGGTCGATGCGTTTCAGCAGGACTGGTCAAGGTGGGGGTTCCTGTACCACTTTCCCCCGGTTTTCAGCAGGACTGGTCAAGGTGGGGGTTCCTGTACCACTTTCCCCCAGTTTAGCTATTGCTCCAGGTCCTGACTCGCTTGGAGACTTACCAGGGAAGAGTTGTTCTCTTGGCTCCTTGGTGGCCGGCCCAGCCAAGGTTTCAGGCGCTGCTTGCAGTCTTCGCATATGGTATTTTTGACTCGAGTTTATCATCATCTCTATGGTGATCAGGTGGCTTCCTTATTAGTGTCCCACCTGCGGGCTTCGTCTTGGCGGCAGTATGAAGTTTCCTGGCGGTCCTTCCGGTTCTTCTTATGTCTTCTTATGAAGTCGTTGTACTTCACTTTCTGTTAGGGTGGTTTTGTCCTTTCTCTCTTGGTTGTTCCAGGACCGTCTACTTATGCCTAACACTATCGCCTTGTATCGTGCGGCAATGACAGAGCCGCTTCAGCTTGCTTTCGGTATTGATGTTACATCTGCGCCATTTCGCAAGCTGTCTCAGTCGCCTGTCTCGGACGTTGTTTCACCTCCGGCCTGCTCATACGCCTCCTGAGCTGTCCTGGTCTTGAGACAGAGTGCTCTCTTTTCTTTCTTCTCCTCATTTTGTTGTGGCCCTTTTGGTTCCGGATTGTTTTTCGAAGGCTCTTTTCCTGTTGGCATTGGCCTTTGGGGGTCAGGTTGGTGAGCTTTATGCTCTCCTCCGGCGCAGAGGTTTCTGCTCCTTTGGTCGAGAAGATCGGATTGTTCGTCTGCTACCTTCTCCTTCTTTTCTGGCGAAGAATGAGACTGCTGCTTTCTGGAAGGGTCCCCTCGGTTGTTGCTTGGTTGGTTAGGCCGGGGGTGCATCATGTTTTGTGTACGGTTGTGGCTCTCCGCCTTTATTTGAACGCCACGGCTTCTGTGTCTGTGGGTGCGCTTTGGGTTGATCCAGTTTCCCTTCTTCCATGTTCGTGGGTGTGGTTCTCCCAGGTCGTCCGCAGGGTTATTAAGGCCAGCCAGCCTGTGGTCTATCCCCATGCCCATGACGTCCGCAAGTTTGCGGCTCTTGCCGCCATCTTTGGCAATATGTCCTGGGCTGACATTCAGGCACGAAGATTTTGGCGGTCGAACAGGGTCCTGGTTGCTTGTTACCTTGTTAACGTTCCTGGGCCCAGTCGAGCCTGTGTTGCTTTGGGTTGGCGGATGCAGCCAGTTGTCTCGACTTTGGGTTGAGGAGTGAGCAGCAACCACCTCCCTATTCTTTTCTCTGTGGGTAGTTAGTTCCGGGGAGCCGTAGGGGCATACTCCAGAAAACCAGCGTTGAATGTAATGAAATGTCATTTTCTGGGTGAGATGCGGAGGCTTCCCGGCATCCCTCCCTCCCTCCGGTCGGCGTTTTTTTGTGTGTTTTGACATCCAACCTCAGAACTGGGGTGTGGATCGCCGGCGCGGTAGGTCTGGGGCTCCCCCTTCCCCCTCCTGGGGAGGGGTGAGCTGCGCAGACATCGGCGCGACAACGGGTGACGTCATACTAGTTAGCTCATTTTTGTTTGGGGAGTTCTATCCACCGACCTCGTTCGGCTTTTGGCTGCAATTTTCACCAGAATAGGGGTTTGTTTTGGGACGCTTACCTTTCTGGACTCCGGTCGATGGCAGACATAGAATGCTTCCAATCACATGAGGGTTTCTATAGGCCATTGCTCCGCTTGCCTCTCTAGAGGGGGCCAGGTTCTGGCTCGTGGTCCCTGGTAGGCCCAAAGAACTCCATACACATGACTGATGCCAAAATCTGACATTAGCATATCAGCCTGGTAAACTCCAGGGAGCCTCTGGGTTTTATCCAGAAAATGGCATTTCATTACATTCATTACGTTTCGTTCTGGTTTTTTGTACATAACAGCCGACCTGGTTACTGTAGCTGTTTTTTGTAAGTTTTAGATTATCCTTTGAAAATTCCATTATATATCTTGTTCACATATTGGGGTCTGAGTAAACTAAAGTAATAAGAAAACTTGTAGATATGGTCACTAACACTATCGCGCCGCGGCCTCCACCCGTCGTCACTCATTTTTCTCCCGATTCTGAGCGAGTGACTATGGCTTGCGTCATATATTAAAATATTTGTAAAAATTCAATGTTTATCTGATCAACTTCTGGGTTGTTTCAAAATGAGCGCCTTTAGATTGCGCAGAATTTGATATCAAAATGAAAGACATAATATTAAAATTGATGTCAGTACACTGGAAAGATATTATTAATTTTGTGGTGATGAGTGTCAAAAAGTGTCGAAAAGATAAAATATTTGTTAAAATTCCATTTATTGTTCTATTATTATGGGTCTAGTTTTAAAATACGGCCCTTTATATTGTGAACAATTTGATATCAAAACGAAAGACGTAACACGAAAATTGATGTCAGAAAGATAGTAAATGTCAGAAAGAAAATAAATACTTTTGTGGTCCAAATTTTTAAATATTTACTAAAATGCCATTTATTGTTCTATTACTATGGGACTAGTTTTAAAATACGTTCCTTTATTTTGCGAACAATTTGATACCAAAATGAAATACGTAACACGAAAATTGATGTTATCAAACTGAACGAGTATATACATTAGTCTGCAGGTGTGCCAATTGGTGCTCGTTCATGGGTAACTTGGCCGACTTTAGACTTTGCTGTGGGGAGTCACACCAGGCTTTTAGACCTAGTATGCATGTACCCCTGTAGAGAATTCTATTGCGAACACAATGATACCAAAATGAACGACGTAGCACGAGAAATACGGTGAGAAAACTGAAACTAGTATACACATTTTACTGATTTTGCGTGCTCACAGGTAACTTTGCCGACTTTAGACTTTGCTGTGGGGAGTCACGGCGGGCTTTTGGACCTTATATGCATATACCCCTATAGGGAATTCTAAAATCAAATCGTATCAAATCAAATATTTATTCAGGTAAAGTACGTACATACAAGGTGAGATACAAAACATCAATGGATTTATAGATAGAGCTAGTACATACAATGCCTCATGTCACTATTACACAAAGCGTTTCTATTGCGAACACAATGATACCAAAACGAACGACGTAGCACGAGAATTAAGGTGAGAAAACTGAAACGAGTATACACTTTTTGGTGTCGCAGCGTGCTCTCCCAAAACGTCGAGACCATGATATCACAGTCTGTGGCGCAGCTGCACAGAGTGCGATAGTGTTAAAATGAAGAGAAGCTTATTTAAAAAAAAAAAAAGATTTAAAATGTTGCACCAAGAGCCACCATAATTTGTAACTTTTCCAAAATAACCTCTCTGATGCATTACAACTTTCTTTCCTTGTTATTGCAGGCATTTACCAAATATATAAGTACATATGAAAAGCCGATATCTGTCACCAAGAGTGTGAGCTGCCATACCTTATCTCACCAGGAAAAGGAGAGTCACACTGAGGTAACTTTATGCATCTTATATTTTGTTATTCACCTATACTTTAACCTTCACACTATTTTTCTCTTTCCATTTTTGAGTAACCTACTGGGGCAATGGTTTCTACAAAAATAGAACAGTGGTACCTTCGTTTACGATCGTAATTCATTCCTAGAGACGCGTCATCAACCAAAACTTCGTCAACCAAAACGAATTTTCCCATAAGAAATAATGTAAATTGAATTAATCCACACCCCCCAGAAATATTAACTTAAAAATACATTTTATACCAAATAACACTCATTTTGTACTAACTACAGTACAGTATGTATATCTTACCTTGTATTAGGACTCTTGTTGGTGTATGGAAGACGGTTAGGAGGGGAAAAGGAGGAGAGGTGTTAGTGTTTGGAAGGGGAGTCCCCTTCCATTATAACATCAGGCAGTGATGACTTTTCTGGGGTACTCTCTCTCCTACATTTTGCCTGCATACCACAAGGACTTGCTTGTGGCACACTGCTTGTTTTTCTCACTAAAAACCTGTCTAGCGACATTTTTTTTCCCTACGTTGTAACACTTCTCATGTCTCACTATGAATGATCTCGTTTTTCCTCTATCATCATCCTCACAATTATTTTCTTAGGTTGAACTTTACCACTAACCTTCTTGGGACCCATGGCATGATATATAATAAGAACTTTTATGTTAAAAAAGTAAAAATGCAGGCAAACAGTGAACTTCTTCACAAAGAATTCAACAGCGGTCGCGATTGTCACTATGCGGGGATAGACTTGTAAACAAATTGAGAGTGCTTCGCCCTGCGCCCCCCCGCACCTGTGCTCATTCGACCCATACACGTACGAACAGATGTCGTCTTCCAAGTAAACAGTCGTACACCAATTCAAATTTTATGATGAATTTGACGTCGTATACCATCACCAAAAAATTTGTACCCTAGGGCAGTTGTCAACCGAGGTTCCATTGTACTTATTGTAATTATTTATGCTGATTGCTTAAATTATAGATGTTTTCTCTCGGTGGCTCTCTTAAGCTGTCTTGCTGATACCTGCTTAATACCTGCTTGATGGAGTTCTGGGAGTTCTTCTACTCCCCAAGCCTGGCCCGAGGCCAGGTTTGACTTGTGAGAGCTTGGTCCAACAGGCTGTTGGTTGTAGCGGCCCGCAGGCCCACATATCCACCAAAGCCCGGTTGGTCCGGCACTTCTTGAAGAAAACTATCTAGTTTTCTCTTAAAGATGTCCATAGTTGTTCCAGCAATATTTCTTATGACTTTGCAGCTGTGTGGCATGCCCTAAAGAAGATTCAGATTCCTCCAGGCTTCATTCTCTGGCTTTATTTGAACTGTTTCCTGGTGTTTCATTCCTTGAACCAAGTACAGTACTGTAGTTGCTTTAGGTCCATTGCTCTTTGCGGCTGGATGTTGTGGGTAGCTCGTCTACTGGATTTTCGGGGTTTGGTTTTCAACACTGTTCACATCCAGAGAGTGTCAAACGTTCTTGCAGATGGTCTCTCTTGCTTCCTGCCCACCTTCACAAGTGGCTTTGCGAGATGTTTCAGGCTCCCCAATGTGTATCCCTTTGCATCACCTCAGAATTGGCGCCTTCCTCTATCTGGCTTCATTTCTTGATTGCAAGGCTCTCGCTGAACAGGTCATGGTGTTGGTTTCTTTACCTCTTTTTCCTGATTCAGCTATTGCTCCGGGTCCTGGCCAGGTTGGAGTCCTACCAGGGAAAGGTAGTCCTTCTGGCTCCCTAGTGGCCACCTCAGCTTTGGTTTTAGGCACTGCTTGCACAGTGTATGAACCCGAGTGTACTTCTGTGGCTGCACCACTTTCGGAAAAGCAGTCCTGTAATGTACCTTGCTGTTTCAAACTTCTCCAACTCTTCGTGTCTGGTCTTCTTTTTCTGTGGGGAACCCCTACGGCTCCCTGGAGCTTATCGGGCTAATGTATGTTATATTAGACCGGGACATTAGCTAAGGAGCTCAGACCTACCAGGGACCAGCGCCAGAACCTGGCCCCTTCAGAGAGGTTTCAGGGAGCAATGGCACTGGAAAACCCTCTTGTGGTTGGGGTTTTCCTTATCTGTCATCGACCGGGGTCAGGCACCCAGAAAGGTAGGCATGACAAAACAAACCTCACATGGTAAAAAACTAAAACAAAAAACCGAACAGAGAGGTAGAAACTCCCTGCAACCCAAGGAAACAAGCAAACATCACACTTTACTGCCGCGCTGATTGTCCGCGCAACCCTCCCCGTCCCGAGAGGGGGAGGGGGGAGCCCCGGACCTACTGCGTCGGCTACCAAGCTTCAGTTCGTAAGCTAATGTCAACCGGGATAGACGCTTCTCTGGCCTCAGTTTCCTAGGCGGTGTTTGCCTTGTGTGGCGTTCACTGCCGTGTGTTGTGGTGTGCGGTGGCCAGGAGTACCTCATCAGTGCCGGGGCTGCATGCGCTTAGTGGCTGACTTCCCTAAGCGCCCTGTGAGTACTGCCCTTGCGTAACAGGGTTATCTTCCCTGGGGCGTTCGGGAACCATTCCCGTAGAGGTTCTTGCTGCTCGGCATTTGCCTCGCCCTTGGGGCCAGCTGGGGCTTGGGGCCCTTGTTTGGCCCTGGGTAGGGATTGGTATTGTGCTGGTTAGGGCGTCAAGGTGTTGCACAGCCTGCCACCTAAGCGGCGACCGGTTCCTGTTGCCTCTGGAGACGGTGTACTTTTGCGGGGTTTTTCTTTTGTTTTTATTTTCAATTGCCTGGTGGGGGTCTGCCCAGTGTGGCTATAGTTCCACTGGTAGTGTTTGGCGGCCCTCTGCTAGGCCCCCGTGATTGTACACGTCTCAGGGGTTTTCAGTGCTATCCCCAACCGGTTTAGCAACACCTTGCCCGGGCTTCCCGTAGCAGTCAGCCTACGGGCCCTGGAAACCCCTGTCTGGGCTCGGGGGACCATTGAATGTGTCTTCTGGGTTCCAACCCGTCTTGTACGGGATCGTTGGTTGCTGTGCCCTTGTCTCCGGGTGACAGTCGCCACTTTTACCTCCGTCATGCTGCCTGTTGGGTCACTGACACCTTGACCCGGAGTCTTGCGAGAGATTTTCTCTGCTTGTTCTCCAGTACTCTCCTGATGTTATTACTGTTCAGAGTACAGGCGGCATCTGTGTTGCAAGCTAGGTTAGGTTGCTGCAACATGCTAGGTTGGTTTCCCACTCGGATGCCCCGAGGCCGCCCCGTTTTGGTTAGGTGCTGTTCGCCCCTTTCCCTCCCTGTTCCCGGCTCCGGACCGTCTGCGGGTTTCGGGGTCGGGGCGGGGTTTAGTTGGGGCAGAGACTCGGGCGGTTTTCGGGGGCTGCCCTGTTCGGGTTGGGGGACGGAGGTTTTCGAGCCGGTTCCTCCTGCCAAGGCTTCTGGGTCTTACCAGCGGCCCTTTCTTGCTGCCTTTCCCATGGACTCTTGCTTTTCTTTAAGGGCGGAGGGCTTGGAGGACGGCTCTGCCCCGGGGCCTCTGTTGTTGGTTCCCGGGGCTGTGGGGGATGCCTGCTAGCAGTTCTGGGGCGGTTTGCCCCTGCCTGGGTTTTCTGCTTTTGGGCGGCGTTTTTCGCCCATCCAGTCTGCTTGCTTCCCACTTTTGCTGGCGTGTTTTTGTATCTTTAGTGTCAGTCACAGCCCCTGTTCTGGCGGCCATTTTCGTCTGCCGGTTTCCCGGCGTGGCCACCAGGGTGGCGTTGCGGTTTGTTTACATGCGACTGGGTGTGCGAGCGAGCTTCTTGGGTAAGTTTTCACCTTTTTTCAGGGGATTTTATTCTCCTGTTGTCGTTTCTTTGCTTTTCTGGTGTTTTCTGCCCGTTGCCTGTTCCTCTGGGAACGTTTGAGTGTTGATTTTACACCGGGTTTTCCATTTTGTCTGGTTTGGGTCTGGGCCCTTGGGTTTGGGCTCGGTGTCCCCTGGCTGTTATGCTTGCTCCCACACCTTGTCCCTCGGTTTTCGGTCTGTTATGACCGTTTTCCCAGGGGGTTCTGTCTGGGGGCTGTGCTTTGCCTTTCTGTGGTATTTCTCCGCTGGCAAAATGTGGTGGTTTGGCCTCCCCCTGGTTCGATTCCGGGTTCCTTTGGGTTTTTTGGTTTCATTCCGGACGTTTCTTCCTCTTGGGCCCCTTTGCGGGTTCTGGGGGCTTTGTTTCCTCGTGTGTGACCCAGTTTCTGCCTTCTGGTGTTCTGGGGTCTTCCTGGCTTGCAGACTGATCTTTTTGGGTCTTGGCATGTGTTGTGGTCGTGCTGGGGCTTTGAGGTTTTGTCGAGGTGGCCCCTTTTGATGCAGTTTTGTGCCTTCTTTGCCTGGCCGGCAGCTTGTAATTTTCTTTTCAAGTGTATGTTTGTGTGTACGCATGTACATGTATACACTGTGTGTGTGTGTGCACATGTGCATGTGCATATGCACGTGTGTGTCACATACCTTGTGTATATGTGTTTGTGTATATACATGATATGTATATATGTGTATGTGTACTTTTTCTTTAGGAAGGGGCTCTGTTCCCTTCTCTGTTGACGGGGCGCTGGGGGAGCAGCTTGCTCTGTTGACTCTCGTATGGTCCTGCTGTTAGTGGGCGCTTTTGATTGTCTTCCGGCCTTTGGTGGCGGTGGTGGACAGCTTCTCCCCCTTTGGGGGGTTCAGAGCTGGTGGGGTGGGCTTCTTCCCCTGCGCTTCGTCATGTCATCTTGGTGGGTGCGTTGGGCATCGTCGATCCGCCCCATCCTTCTGGGGTTCCCGTCTGCTCTTTGCAGACATGGGCCTTCGAATCTGTGGTTCTTCTGGACTTCAGTCTGCGCCTTGGTTTCTATGCCCTCCTCGGAGGACTGTTGTCTCCTGTTCGGCTTCTGTTGGGGCCAGGTGCCTGGATGGTGGCCCTGGACCTCCAGGTCAATTATTGGCACTTGGTGTTTTTTTGCATCTTTACCGGATCTTGGTGCCCTGTCTGAGTCTGCTTGAGATTCGGTGTCTGGCCTACCTCGACGAC